TTTTGTTGTTATAGCCATGATTGGGTGGGCGAATTGTTATGCCCAAACGGGGATTACGTAATCGAACCAAAAGTAAAATTCTGAATGGTGTTGGCCTTTAAAATGCACGTAGGGGTACACAGTTAAACGGGTAGACCCAAAAACCCAAGGATATACTTGCTGTACGTGGGAAGACATTCAATCCAATCTAGAGGTATAGACGTGTTTCGAACTGAAGCTTGAACACAAGTGAGCACCAGCCTTCCCCTGTGGTTATTGTGCCATCGCTCCCCTGGCCGCTCTATACACCGTGACCAGCTTGAGTACCGAAGCCTTCAATCGATCAATTTCGCTCTTCATCCTGGATTATGCACATGCACCGACATACAAACTCACTGACACAATGACTCGATTTCATATGGAGGCTTGTTCTCTTCCACGGCCTTGTGACCGACATACCAAACAGGACGAAACAGCTGTCCAGTACTCTTTGTTGGTTGTCACAAATATTTCCATCGCATTTAAATGCATACAAACAGTGGGGAATTAACGATCTCCCAAGGAGTGAAATCCACACCGAGAACCATCAAGAGCGCCTGGTGCCTCTGAACAATCGAATGGGCTGATCCAAGCTTGGTACTCTACACACGAAAAGGCGGTTTTCTCAACACTACTTCCGGGAGGATTGATGGTGATCTGCACTACTCGATCACCACTGCGCTGACGGGGCTCATCAACAGTGCGTAGTTTTGTAACCTTGGCTAGACTTGATCCACGAATCTTCAAGATGAAACTCGACACATTTACACACTCCTGAGCTACACAGCAATTCGACTCGACTAATGGGGTAACATATGCAAGCTAGTTACTCAATTAGACAAACTGTAATCAATCGAAACTGAAGAACCGAGACTGGTTATATTGGAAGAAATTGAAATTTCGAATCGATTGTTCATGGGGATCAAAATTTTCCTCACTGGATAGGAACGAACGCAGTTTCTATTTGAAGATACATGGTTAAATTTGGACTGATCTATAAATGACTGTCACTACCGATTTTGAACGACATACTGAGATTCTAAATAAAAAAGGAATTATGGAGTGCTCAACACTTGTTCTTGGAATTTCTTTTCGAGCAACAGATTGATCTGGATCTTGGGCAAACTCCCTCATGCAATTGAGCTCATGTTTCTGTCCTAATCTTAAAACATAAGAACAGCGAAATCAAACTGTTCGGATGCTCAGCCCGGTGTGTTTTAGGAAAGCTATGGATGACAAGTTCAAAACTGTTACGTCATCGAATGAGCAGAAAAGAAGTAGATCTTCGATAACACAACACTTAATCAAATAAAAGCATTTTGTTACTCCAACTCACACGTTTCAGGTCATTTAGGTTACTGAAATTTGCCAAGGCTCTAGCCATTCATACCCTCAAATCCGATCTATGCGAACAACGTGAATGGTTAGTCACATTAGCTTTCCGCTGGTGATTAACCTCCTACCCTCTCCCGTTATTTGTGTTACTGTGTCGTGTTGTACGTTGTCGTTAGCGTTCATGTCTTTATTTCATAGTAGCTATCTCAATGACTACATAAAAATCACTTTGACTGCAGTATGCACGTGTACAGATGCAGCAAAATGACCATGGATACATTGTGTAAACCCATGTTTCTGATTTGTCTATTCGATTCCAAAACAGCCTTGAAAAGGTTCCTAATTTGTCTGTGACCCGATCGCTACTTTTCAGTGTTATTACGTTGGTTATTACCCTTTCAAACAGACCCCATGACATCATACCCTTTTTTGGTAATCTACTTGAACTCGTGTTCCACAGTTGCAGTATTTCAAAGACTATCTCAGACGTATTTGGCCATACGAGTTTTTCGGGCCTCAGTTTGTTGAAGATATTCATCCCTGGGTTTATCCTCTATTTTTAGGTCTAGAAATCTTACTGTTCACTAAAACTAACTCCGTCGACGTACGGCAACTTACAATCTACTTTATTGGCTGCATAATGTCGTAATCTGATCAAAAAACACTTCAATGTATTTTGTGGTTTTCTCAAATTTCTTTTCCTAATTATAGCAACATTTACTAGCATGTTCTGGTCGATTACCTGATTGTGCAAGCAATTTTTGTACATTCGATCCACTTTCTTTTCACATCCTCTTAAGCTGTTCCTTGCACATCGCGTAACGTATAGCACCCGTTTTCTACTGCCTGTAGTTCAATAAACCGGGCACTTATCATCATTTGTCTCAAGAAACCTCGTTCACGTGAGTGGACTTATCGCATGCATTTAATTATTGTCTTCTTTTTACAATTGTTCCGTTTTTGGGCGGAAAAGTTTCCCCACTATGTATACGTTTTTAACTTTCATACAAGGGAGAGGGATAAAGCCTAGTTTCATTGGTCCTGCTTTGCATCCCGATGAAAAGAGTCGCACTTTACTAGTTCATCGTTTTGGTTTGTGCAATTTGAAAGGAGATAAAACAGTTTCCGTGGTCTCTGAATTTCATCACAATTCGAACATTGCGTGACGATGATTCCAATCATCGACTTCATCATCCTCTAGTTCTGCACGTGAGCAAGCTTGAAATCACTTGACTTGGAGTGGCATTCGGTAGCGTTGCAACCGTATCACCCACAAAACCGTGGATAGAATCATCCCCAAATAAATTAGTGAAGTGTCTCAACCTGCGTTTATACTTGGAGACGATGACGAATAATCGTTCTTTAACTTAACTTGCTGTCAAGTGGTGGAACAAGTGAGGGGCAAACTCGCTCAAGTGTATCATGATTCGACTAGTTTAAAGTTGGCTTGGTGAGAAATCGGAATGGTGTTCTACTAATTTTCAGTTCGAACACGTCCCTCGTTCGAAAGCAGACTCCGTACCGAACGATGTACTCCAAACCCGGGTGATGGGGGTGGGGGGCGGTGAATGCTCTGATGGATGCACTCAAATGAAATTGGATTAATCGCGATCGAGCGCAGGATTTTTGTTTGTGTATGACAAAGAAAGCAAGGGATGAGTTATTTGCAGAGAAAACCGCTATAATTATCCCGAAACTTGACTCGAATCTTCAAATAATTGTTCAATTGATTAACAATCGGCCTTCTCCCAACGTTACAGCCAACAATAGCGACCTCAGCAGTATTGTATCTTCGTCTATGGAGCGATTCGGGACTCTGTGTTCTATCTGAATACGATGCACTAAAATCTGTTTTTGAATACCCTGTGATTCGGACCTGAGGCTCAAAACCTCATGCATCAACTATCTGATGTCTGAAAGAAATATCCGCTAGTACGCGCTGGTTTTCTTACTAGCACAGTGGTAAACATTCTAACGAAGTGACAAACCGGGTGCGTAAAACTCGTTGTTAGGACCATTCGGCATAAAAATCAGGTGATCGCTTTTTCATAGACGACTCTCGATTCTCAAAAACACCTTTCCGTCATGGTTACGATTGATGGTGCAAAACTTTGACTGGCAAATTTCCTTTCTAACTCTAACCCTCTGAAGGAGGCAATATATAATAAACTCGCCTCCCCATCAGAAGTCCAAAATGTCGGTAGACGCACAAGTCAAAAAGTTATGCTGTGTCCGTTTTTTTCACTGAATGCGTCCAAAAGCTGGTTCTGTGTAATTAAGATCACTATCGACCCTGATCACCAATCTCCTTCGCTTTCCTCACATACCAGTTGACAGGTGATTAAACCGATCGATCACTAAATCGATGGGGCAGATGTATATGCTTTGAGTGAAGGTACAATTATAACGTGTTCTTCTGTTTTGAAAAAGGCCCGAGCACCTTATCTGATTAAAGAAATATGTCATTTATATTTGAAGTCAGTTCCGTCTGTGGTGCAAACCACCAACTGCAACAAAGCAATATGAAAAACTCCATCTCTTAGGTAGTCACGCTTAAGAAGGGATGCTTCAGATAGAACGAGTTCATATCAAAAAGGATCTGGCGAGGTAAAATTATGTCATTTTGCTGTGTTGGACACCTTTCACCTGTCCAACCCCGAGCAAAACTTTATTGCACGGTAATGTGCTACTCATGAGTAGTACGTTCTTAAATATGTAGTTTGAAATTCGTCGCTGAAGGTTTTGACTTCATTCATGTGCAACCGTTACCCATTACAACCTCAAAGCCTCCACAGATGTAAGAATTGAGTTACATCTAGCCAGTTCGTGTTTGTAAGTGTCATATCTTCAACATTCCGTCAACCTCAGAATTTATTTTTTACTTGTATTTGTGACCATTCAAACTGAATTTCAGGAAAGCAGATTATACTTATGACCCTGTGAAATCCAAATTCTCCATTTGACACAACACAGCTCCTCGTCTTATAGTGAATACGTTCTCTCACTCATATTCCGTATATATTGACCAGTAACACCGACATTAGCTGCGTATTCCGTCGATCACTCTTGACTGTATTTTCTTTCAACTTTTCTGTTTACCTGGTTGTACTGCATCATCTTTAGGTTGCATTTATTTAACTTTCACTGTTTGACTGCAAATTCGTTAATTTGGTCTTAAGTCGATTTATTATCAAGAGTTGCTTTTTATAGAACCGCCTCATATACCCTATTCTCTGCCCACTGTGTCGTATCTTCCTATCATTGATGTTCTGAGTCAATTTCTAACCTGGACTAATCGGTTTTCTTCACAGCCACTAACCATAAATTTTGTTGCAACCCAACATGTAATTAAGTTCGAGTTGTATCCAATATCAATAACGAACCGAATAACTTTAATAGCTCTCAGCTGTGAGTAATACATTAATTGTACGTTTGCAATGTTGCGCAGACATTGTGAAAAATAGTTTTTTGAAAGAAAACCAAACAAACAAGAAAGCACAGTTTACGCACATGGACAGAGGGAAGAAGATTTTTCAGTTTTACTCATAATCACCTTAATAAGCCTCAGTAAAAGTTATTTTTAAAAATAACGCTTATCATCCAGAATAACGCCAATTTACCGTCCGAGTTTGATCTATCCTGGGTGCTCATGAGATGTACCAATTCCAGTGTTTCTCATTGTCTTCGTCCACATGAGACAAATCGCCTGTATCGATCGCCTGCCAAAGTTCACTGAAATGAAACGAACCAAGAATAAAGTTAAAAACATAAACCGTAGGATATCGATCTCAGAAGTGTACCGTATTGTTTTTATACAAGTTTGTGTTATTGATGAATGAAAGAAATGTCGACTCAATCACAAGTCATGGTTGCGTCCATGGCCTTTCGCCATAGTAATAAAAATCACCACACAACAGGGATTTAGTGGAAGGTAAAATTGTGATCCTCCAGGTGTTTTATTTAATGTTTGTCTTAAAATCTCTAGTGGTATTTACAACCGTAGCCTTCGGTTGGACAAAGCCTGAACCACAAGGGGTTGAGTGATTTGTAAAACTGCAGTCCGTTAGGGACGGTTTAAAGTTCATTGGATAATGCGCCCTTTGGGAGGAGTCTAACGTACGACGTGCTAAATACACCTCACTGTCCAATCCAGCCCGCGACAGCTGCTACAAACAGGAAAGGGTGTGTGCGTGGTTCTTAAATACTTTCTTGTTTGATTGGGCATCAAGGTGCTCCTAATAAACTCCCCTAGGTGAAATAGCGATGGTTCACTACCCGGATGTTATCTTTTATTGTCTTGCTTAAGAAAGGAATCATTGTCATATAAATATTGAGTAGAACTTCCTAGTAATAACAATGAAAGGCTTAGAAACACCTTAGTATTATAATTCAAACTAGTTCCGGTGCAACCGATTACATAATTCCCCTCGACGACCGTGATCACTCTACCGTTACTTGGCTAAGAAAAGTGACGAATATCAAACAAACAAGCTGTGAAAAAACTGGGTCTATCTACCCACAGAATTTAGTTAGACACTCACCTCAGCCGTTCAGGAGAAATATGTTCCCATTTCAAAATCTCTCCTAACTCCGTCCGAGCTTGTTCGATCTCGCATTTCAACTTCTCATTCTCTGAGATCAATTCAGTGAGTTCCAGCTGCACAATGCAAATAAACACGTCCCGGTATTCTTATAGTCGTAAGCCCATATTAGGGGTTCATTCAACGACATTTAAACGTGAATTGTTGACGAGGAATGACAGTTAGGAATAATACAAAAATATAATGAACTATGACGATGTACTGCAGCGTACCAGCGCGCATTTTGTAGACACAAGCTTACACTGTAGTCGAAAACAATCACTCTTAAAGTGCCCTAGTGAACCTTATCCAGTTGGAATCAAACAAACTGAAAATGCATAAATTTCCGAATTTCAAAAGGATACGAAACCAAAAGTAAAGGAACTTTGTAGAACGCATCTTAGTCGCCATATTCTCTTTGGTCGTAGAATGGGAAATCCAAGTAAGCAACTCTGGAATTATGATCTACCTCATTGCAAAGAGATAAACCAACAAGTACCATCGGACGTGTTCATAGGTTACAATTGACAGGATGATCGGATTGAAACGGTAGGCTATTGTTCAGATATACCGCGATACTGTTTCACGGAAGCTTATAGGAGAACCAGAAATTAGGATTCAGAGAACACACTTGTATACGTAAAAAGGTAACTGATTGTAGGACCTGAAACTGTCTGAGTTTGATAATATTAGATCTTAGTGACCGACGTTTGCAAAATGCATAGCCAATGAGCGAAGTGGATCGATCTCGTTGTTCAGTTATAAGCATCTGATTAATTGAACTCCAAGGAGAACGTGTTGTTAACAATGGTGGCAAGGTTTAGAGAATGGTGATCATCAGAGGTTAACGATAAACTGCGAATATTTGGATTGTTTCAATCTGATACGGGAGTGAATGAAAAAGCGGTCAATAACAGAAAAGAGATTTCGAAAAAATGTATTGAACACGGCAACATTGCAAATGCACTGGTACCAAAATGAAATCATTTACATATTCCGAAATTTGAGCAAGAATTGTGTCAGAAAAATTACTAAAGTGGCCAGCAACGCAATCAGAATAAAACACAACGGGAACTTGGGTCACTTCAGATTTTTTTGACTAGGTAGTTTGAAGAAAATCTTTCTTAGTGCACTGTACTCTCTCTCTCTCTCTCTCTCTGGCACGCGCGCACTATCAATGAAATAGTTATATAGCCAGATGAGCAATTGTTTCGGAAATCTGAACACTTCCATTGTGTTCAGCCGCTGTGATCGAGGAGACAAGTTGTTGACGGGATTCAATTTCCCCCTCCCCCCTTCCCCCATGTTACGCAAAAAATATTTGTTGATGAGTAGTTGATCAGTTCGATGGAAGGGAATTGAGAGTCGATAGTATCTGATCGCAATTTTTTGAGGAAAACATTCTCAGTCGTTTTCAGAGTACCGGACATAGTTTATGCCGACACCTGATTTGATGTTTAAACGAACCAGTTTATCTCCGAAACCGTGGAATGAATTGCCACGCTTCACCGTTCAAGGACAGTGGTCGTATGACATTATCGTAAGAAAGTGAGCGAGTATCTAAATGAAATAAGTTTACGATTCGAATGAGGATAATACAAACCTAAAGCTATAATTTACTAGCTTCGTTTGCAACTGTTCATTGAACTAGATAATTACACCAGTCAAAACGATCCCAGACCTTAGAAGGTCAAATTTTTGGTGGTATAGTAACTGAACAGACATCAACGTTGATCATGAAAAGCACTTTACAGCACTATACTCAGCTGTTTAAAAACAGATAATAATAGACTATGAAAACGTCCGCTAACAATTCTGTTCTGTTATTATTGTTTCTTTTAGCAGAATTACACCTGACCGGGATTTTATCTGATGACTTTTGTAATATGATGACACGATTGGCTAGGTACACAGTAGATTGGGCTATAAATTAACTGGCATCCTTTGTACCACCTTTGCCCAAATAGAAGAATATGAAACATCATCAACATAATCAAGTCTTACACCGCCAACTTTGACCGTTCTGTCCAGTCGGAGTAGATCGGTTCTGGGTGCGTACAACTTATTATTTTCCAATTGCAGTTCACGAATTTCCTCCTCAAGTATACACGAATTGGA